ATCCCAGGACCCTGGGATCATGACCTGAGCCGAAGGCAGACGCTTAACGACTGAGCCACCCAGGCGCCCCGAGAATGGAGACCTCTTGCTTATAGTAGAATGCGGAGAGCCAACTCACTAATATGAAGTTAGTGCTAGCATTGGAAAAGCACCACTTTGCAAACATAATGGTAAAGATTGGCTCAGGCAAGAATCACCACCAGAGGGGGCGCCTGGGTGGCTCAGTCGTTGGGCGTCTGCCTTCGGCTCAGATCATGATCCCGGGGTCCTGGAATCGAGCCCCGCATCGGGCTCCCTGCTCCGCGGGAAACCTGCTTCTCCCTCTCCCACTCCCCCTGCTTCTGTTCCCTCTCTCGCTCTCTGCCAAATAAATAAATAAAATCTTTTAAAAATAAAATAAAATAAAAATTAACTCAAAATGTAGCACAGACCTAAATGTAAAGCTAAAACCATAAAACTTCTAGGAGAAAATCTTAGTGACCTTAGGTTTGGCAAAGAGTTCTTAAATATGATACAGACAGCAGGAATTATGGGAGAGAAAATTGATAAGCTGGACTTTATCAAAGTTAAAAACTTTCACTTTGAAAGGCAAAGCCACAGAATGGGAGAAAATATTTGCAAAACATATCCACCATATCCACATATCCGCTTTTATCTAGCATTACAGAACTCCTTATACTCAATAAGACAAACAATCCAGTTAAAAAAAAAGAATGGCAAAAGACCTTAATTTACCAAAGAGGGTAATAAATAAGCACATGAAGACATGGTCAACGTCATTAGCCATTACGGAAATGATATTAAAACCACAATTTAGACATACCCACCAGAATGACGAAAATTAAAAAGGTTTAACATACAAGCTGTTGGCAAGTATGTGGAAGAACAGAAACTCTTTCACTGCTGTTGGGGGTGTGGTACAACCATTCCAGAAAAAGTCTGGTAGCTTCATAAAGAGGTAAACATACACCTACCATATGACCCAGCCATTCCACTCCTAGGTATTTATTCAAGAGAAATGAAAGCATATGGCCACACGAAGACTTATACACACATATTCATAGTAGCTTTATTCGTAAAAGCCCCCAAACTGGAAACAACGCAAATTTGCATCAAATACATGCGAAAACAAACTGTGGTATTTCCATACAATGGGAAATATTCATCAATAAGGAAATTGTTGATGAATGCGACCACATGGATGAATCTCAAAATAATTATGCTGCAAGAAGCTAGTGCCCAAAAAAGGACATACTAAATTATTCTATTTATATAAAAATCTAGAAAATGCAAATGAATATGTAGTGATGAGAGCAAACTTCTGAAGGTAATGGATGTCTTCATTATCTTGATTTGGGTGATGATTTCATACATCAAGTTATGAAAACATATCGAATTGTACCTTATAAATATGTTGTTTATTTTTTTAAGATTTTATTTATTTATTTGATAGAGAGAGCAAGCACAAGTAGGCAGAGAGGCAGGCAGAGGGAGAGAGAGAAGCAGGCTCCCCGCCAAGCAGGGAGCCCGACGCGGGGCTCGATCCCAGGACCATGGGATCCTGACCTGAGCCGAAGGCAGCCGCTTAGCCAACTGAGCCACCCATGTGCCCCTAAACATGTTGTTTATGGAGCTCCTGACTGGCTCAGTTGGTACACCCCTGACTCTTGAACTCAAGGTCATGAGTTCAAGCCCCACATTGGGCACACAGCTTAAAAAAACTTTTTTTTAGGGGTGCCTGGGTGGCTCAGATGGTTAATAAAATCTTTTATTTTATTTATTTATTTGACAGAGAGAGAGAGCGCACAAGCAGCCAGAGAGGCAGGCAGAGGGAGAGGGAGAAGCACGCTCTCCACTGAGCAGGGAGCCCGACGTGGGGCTCGATCCCAGGACTCTGGGATCGTGACCGGAGCAGAAGGCAGCCGCTTAACCAACTGAGCCACCCAGGCGCCCAAATAAATAAAGTCTTAAAAAACAAAACACTTTTTTTAAAATTTATTTGACAGAAAGAGCACAAGTAGCCAGAGCGGCAGGCAGAGGGAGAGGGAGAAGCAGGCTCCCCGCTGAGCAAGGAGCCCGAGATGCAGGGCTCGAAACCCGGACCCCGAGATCATGACCTGAGCCAAAGGCACACGCTTAACCTATTGAGCCACCCAGGGGCCCCTTCTATTTATTTTTATTATTTATTCTCTTCCTCCCACCTCTATGCTGTTGGGGCCCCACGGAGCCCTTTTCCTGATGATGCACTCACCCCATACGTGCCTTAAGTGTTGGCTGACAACTCACAGCTGCCCCTGCCAATAACTGATGGGAAATGAGGGTGTGGGAGAGAAGGCAGAGGGTACAAAAGACTGGCTTTCCTGTGGTGCCTAACTCTGTGGTGCAATTTATGCAGTTACCTGTGGGATGGGGCTGAAGCTAGTTTCCACTTGAGGCCGCTCTCCTGCTTACTTTCGTTTGTTTCCCTGCCCTGTCCTGTTTCTCTCACACCCTTCTCCTGAGAGCACTTCCCCAATAAATCACTCAAACAAGAATTCTCATCTCTGGCTCTGCTTCTGGGAACCTGACCCATAACACCCTAGGTAAGCTTCACGGGGGACTACCTTGTTCGTTCCCTTACATCAAATTCCCATCTCCAGCTCTGCAGAGCTGTGCCTGGAACACAGCAAACACTCTATACATGTGTTGCATGAATACGGGGAGAGCCCAAAGTCTGCTTTATGGCTAGACTGTGGGCACCCCTTCTGTCCTGGGCTAGTCTGGCCTGGAGGCATTGTGAGTCATAGCTGGTGGAGAGCAGCTGAGTGGTTCAGACATGGGGCCAGGCCTGGGACAGCAGCTCAGCACCTCCAACACACCCTCCAGGTGAGGCACAACCTGCAGTGAGGATTACCGGGAAAAGGAGGTCCTCTGGGAAGATGCAGCCTTACACGTGGGCCTGGCTGCACCCTCTTGGGCCCTCTTTGGGCTTTCAGAGATGTCACCCTGAGTCAGATCTAGGGGATAGTACCATCCCCTCAGCCCAGCTATGTGCAAGAGGAATACGTGGGTATTGGATTGACGTAGGCATGACAGAGGGTTCTTTCCCTTTTCACCCTCCATGTGGGAGAAGAGGGAACATAGAGTCCTTTCCCCATAGAATAGAGTCAGCACTTCCAGGCTTTGGGGGAGACAGAGAATGAGACTTGTTATCTGTACTTCAGCTTCCTTGAGGATGTAGTCTGCTTGGGGGAAAAGTCACGTGTAGTCTGCATAACCCCTATGACCTCAAATCCTAAGCATTGGTCCTAGCCCACGGCACGTGCCCCCAGAATGTCACTGAGCATACTGAACTACTGTCATCTACACACACATCTGGGTTCCAAGCTGGACCAGTAGCATCTTGAGGGCGGCCACAGGCTAAGAACCCCTGCCCAGACCAGGCCTGGCCCAGGGCGCATTATGCCATTGGTTAGGTTAGATATCCTACCGAATCCTTTTCTGAATCCAGAGCTAGCCCTGGCTTTGTAAACCAGCAGTGCCAGAATGAAGTTTAGGCCCTGGTCCCCTTTCCAGCTTCCTCTTGTATTCCCAGCCGAATACCATACACCAACCCTACTCCAAGCTCTTCCTCACATCCCGAACATGCAAGCTGTGCCCGGCTCCTCACTCTGCCTAGTGGCTCCCTCCCTTATCTACCCCCAATTCACCTAGCAAAGCCCTGCTTAACTTCTTCAGTACCTGTCTCTACCATTCCCAACTCCCGGGCCCCTAACCCCTTCCAGCAGCCCCGCCAAGGCTCAGAAAGCCAGGGTTGCGGTCCTTCATCTGCATATACGTTCCCTGCGCCTGACACAGAGTGGTCTGTGGGGAAGGTGGTTTCAGAAGACTTCTGTCAGCGCCAGTGTGCAGGGACGGGCTCCTCAGCGACCAGCAGCTGGTCAGCCCCTGGTGCCGACCTCAGAGCTAAGCTTTGTCCCCCGGTGCCCGCGGCCTGACGGGCCGGCCTGTCCAAGCAGGCTGCTCACCCGGCCTCTTGCTCCCCAGCAGTGCCCCTGGCTCGCCTTCGTCATTCCGGACACCGGGACTCCGGAGGCAAGGGCGCAGCCTCGGTCGTCCACGTCCTCGAGGCTCGGCACCGGGCACCCGCGCGCCCGACACGGCCCACTCGGCCCTCGCCCTGGAGGCCTTCAGGTGCCCGGCCTCGGGCCACGCCGGCCGCCTGTGGGAGCAGTTCCGGCAGTTCTGGGCCGACCACTTCTCGCGGCGCTTCTCGCCGCGGCGCCCGCCGCTGCGCCGCATCTCCTCCATGTCCACCTTCTACCTGCTGGACCACCGGACGCGCCAGGCCGAGCTGGGCCTCAGCTACGGCGCGCCGCGCACGCGCCTGAGCGACGAGGCCTTCGTGTTCCGTGGCGGCCGGTGGACCGCCGAGGGGCTGCCGGTGCGGTCGCGGCCGCCGCCGTCCTCGCCGACCATCTCGGGCTGGAAGCGGCCGGTGCAGCGGGTCAAGAGCCAGGTGCTCCTGGAGGAGAACAACTACCTGAAGCTGCAGCAGGAACTGCTCATGGACATGCTGACTGAGACTACGGCGCGCATGCACCTGCTGGAGAAGAAGCTCGGCACCCAGGCCAGCCCGGCGGCTGCAGCGCGCGCCTGGCAGAGGAAGATGCGTAAACGCGAAAGCACGAGCGGCGTGCTCATGATCGAGCCGCGCGCTCTGGAGTCGTTCTGACGCAATAAAGCCCGTGCGGCGCACGCGCGCTTCGCTCCTCGCCGCCGGCCCCGGCGCGTTCGTGGGCGGTGAAGTGGGCCCGGCCCGGGCTCCCGACTCGCGGGTAGGGACCGTCACTTAGTGCCCAGCGTGGACGGGTGACTCAGCCAGCAGTCGGTCCCGGGAGGGCGCGATTAGGCCGCGGAGGAAGGTGTTGTGTGTGCGGCCCGCTGGGAACGCGGGATGGGAAGCCAGGCTTGCAACAGGCAGTGCCAGCGGAGCGGGGCGGGGAAGGGGCGCGAGGATGGCAAAAAGGAGCCGGCAGGGGCATTCTTGGCCCAAGGGACCGAGGACCGAGTCTTGGGGGTCAGCGAAACCTTGGGCGCTCAGTGATGGAGGGTGCGATGAGGGGGGCAGGCCGATGGGGCGGGAACCTTGCTCCTGGCTCCCCCCGCCCTGGTTTAGAGGCGCGGAGCGGACCAGAAGGGTTTCAGCCTGAGTCCAGACTAAGTGTATTTTGCTCATCTTTCTCAAACCTGGGCTCAGCCTCTCCCACCTGGCTGTGTGGCTTTTGGCGAGTCGCTTCTCTATTACAGGCCTCGCTTTTTCTCCTCCGTAGAATAAAGGGTTTGTCTGACCCAGGGTACAAACAAGCACTCCGCGGGACAAATCCTGTACACAGATAGGATTTGCTTAAAATTTTTGCATTCGTGGGCGCCTGGGTGGCTCAGTCGGTTGAGCGTCAGCCTTCGGCTCAGGTCATGATCCCAGGGTCCTGGGATCGAGTCTCGTCTTGGGCTCCCTGCTCAGCGGGGAGTCTGCTTCTCCCTCTGACCCTACCCCCTCTCATGCTCTCTCTCTCTCTCTCAAATAAATAAATAAATAAATAAATAAATAAAAGCTTTAAAAAAATTTTGCATTCGTTGCCAACATTTAAGAATTTGGAGATTTCACATTAAAAATCCAGATTTCCTGTGTTCTCCTGAAAAAGAGACTTGGCCACCCTCTAGATCCCTTCTGGATCAGTGTTCTTTCCCAGGACATGGGGAGTCCATTTCCCCAACCCCCATACACACAAGGCACTATATAAGGTGCTTTGGGGAGTGTACTGTACTTGTGGTGACACTGGTCCTTGTAATCTGTAACCTTTTCCCTGGAATATAGACAGTGCATTTCTGCATCCACTGAAACTTGAGACTGGGGACACATTTCTCAAGGGCCATATGACAGCTGTGAGAGAAGTGGGTGTCCTGCCTCAGCCTTTGTTTCAGGCACAGAGTAGGGATTACTAAACATCTGCTTTGTATAAAAATGTGTCCTTATTCATTCAAGCAGCAAAACGATACAAAACAGGTCATTAGACACAAAATTGAAAAACATTTGAGCAGTGCTTCTTTGTATTTTAATAATTCTATATTTACATTAACCTACATTAAACAAAGTATTTAAAATAGTTAACGATGGGGGCGCCTGGGTGGCTCAGTCGTTGGGCGTCTGCCTTCGGCTCAGGTCATGATCCCGGGGTCCTGGGATCGAGCCCTGCATCGGGCTCCCTGCTCTGCAGGAAGCCTGCTTCTCCCTCTCCCACTTCCCCTGCTTGTGTTCCCTC